CTTTAGCCACAGGAGCAAAGGACATTGCAATGGATTAGGTCAGTCTTAAGAAAAAAAACAAACTGTAGCAAGACATTTCTTCTCCTATTTCCCTTCCTGCCAACGACACACTGTGCTAGCACAACTGCTTAATCTGTGGGCAGGTGTGATGGTCAAACTGCTTGCTAAGGAGATGGTGGTGCTAACACATCTGATTCCTATGGGAATGGTGGTGGTGTCCGTTAAACAAAAAACCTCAAACACAGGTGGTTGTAAATACAACCTGGAAAAAAACAGTAGGGAGAGCATTCCTGTTAAAATACCTTGTGTGCGCACTGGCAGGGAGGTAGAGCTCTGGAAAGCAAAGGGCTGCAAATAATGTGTGTGTTCAGTCCTTTGTTTGCATTTTGGCCTCTGCAGCTTAAGGAGGAGCTGAACTCTGCAGCAATACAGGCCTTATTAGCAGAGGCAAATACTGCCAGCAGAGCTTTTCACTGCTGAACTGAATCCTACCACAACCACTGCAGCCTTGAGCCTCGCTGAGCCGGAAAGACTCCAATGCCTTAATAACTAGTCCAAAATTCAGACACAATCCCCACAATCTTGGGGAGAGGGCTCTACATGGCGAGAGCACTTTGGGATTAGAAAATTGCTTCTTTGATTCAAAAATGTATTTACAGATTATTAAACATGCACAACTGGAAGCAAAGCCAGTACCAGAGACAAGCAGGCACGAAGCAAACAAGAGAGACTGGAACAGCCCCAAAAGGCAGTGACAAAGAAATTAGAGGATGCAATGAAAAAGTGAGCTTTTAGGAATGAAAGGTCGAGTATGTGTTATGGTTTGTGAGATGATGCTCATGGGGAAAAATCCAATACAAAATGTAAACCCTAAGAAAAACAGAACATTTCAAGTAGCGCACTGACTGAGAAGGTCATCCCCTTCGGGAGTGGCACATTCCCCTCATCAGTCATGGTCAATTATTCATTCCTCCGACGATCAGGAGACATAGCTGAATAAAGTGGGGGATAAGCTGTCTAGGTGTATTTTTTAGAGAGAGACAGGGCAGAAAGGAATGTAAAGTGTTCCACACAGCAAGGTGCATTTATTGTCACAGCTGGCTACATAACAGTGAATCACTGCAAGCATGTTATTTGGGCTTATTGGGATTTTAGCTTTTTAATTTTTTTAAAGACTATGCAGTAGCACATTGAGCTTCCAGTGCAGCCTATTAGGCTTAATGTCACATGAGTGCTCAGTGTAAGCCAAGCTGGCTCCCGCTGTTGTGCCACACAGCCCCACCCTCTCTCTCTCTCTCTGCACTGGGACACACATTTACACTGCACACACATGCACGGACTTCAAGGCACACACCCAGATGCCCACAGGGCCACACATACAATATTGGCATGTGAGTGCTGAGGGGACCATTCCACCAAACTGAAATTAACATGGCTTTGGTCCGATCCAGCTTTCAGTTAAGACACTCTCCTAACTTCCATTGACTTCCTGGGAATAGGATGTGCACGGGTACTGTGCCTCTGTGTGTGCTCGCTCTGTCTCCATCCAAAAAAAAAAAAAGCCAATCTTCTTAAGCCAAGAGCAGCCACCCATTCTGAGACCCTGGCAGCTGTGCTGAAGATAATGGGTGACTGGACCAGGCACGGGGAGCTGGCTTTTCTTTCATGGAAGTAATGTCATTTTCAGGTCTTTCTTCATCTTCAGTTGCAATGCCTCCCGATGCTCCGCATCAAATCACTTCCTATGCCCCACTAACCTGTACTCCTACCTTTAAATATGGGTTCTTGGGGAGCTTGTTGTTCAATAGTAAAATCTAAAGTATTGACTTCTCCAGCACATCAGAGCTTTTCAGTCATCCAGTGACTAACAGACCATTCAGAAGTGACCAAAAATACCCTCTGACTGACACACAAACAGATTAGAAAGAAACTAAAGGTGTCTTCCAGAGAGAATAAAAACAAAACACACTGGTACCATCATTATTTGCGTTCAGTACATGACTGGTCTTTTAGAGGGGAAGGAAAGTGCTCTCTTCAACTTAAAAAGAAACTGACCTTTCAGAGTTTGTTTCCCCTTCTCTGTCAGGGTGAAGTGGCAGCATATTCCATGAACAGGGAAAGAAGTGAACCAGAGCAATGTTGCCACTATTCCCTCATCTGGTCTCCTGCTATACGGAGGCTTCCTGGGACTGATCATGGAAATTGAGACTGGAATTACAATGGTTTCAATAAGCTATATGGACAGTTCTCATGGGCTAAGCAGCTCCCAGCTTTGCAGGATAAAATAATGTAAGAGTTTTTTGAAGCCCACAACACATCTTACACAAAATTCCTCAATAAATGCTTTGGACAAGACAAAGCTACGGTCTATGTGATCACCTGTAATCACTGAACCCTCCTCCCTAATAGATGGGCTGTCACACCAAAATATTTCACCTGGCCCCATTCATGAGTATCATATAGTGACGGCTTTTGGGCACTACCGATCTCAATTAATTCCAGCCAGGCTTTCCAGTTTTCATAGAACAGCATGTGCCTAGTTGATCCTGTTAGTTCAAGGTTTGCCCCACATGTACCAGCTGCAAGGCTATGCTTTCTCCAGAAACCACTGATGACTGTTAACCAAGATGATCAGGGATGCAACCCCATGCGCTGAGTATCCCTAAATCTCTGACTGCCGGAAATTGGATAAAAGGGGATGGAGGGAAGGAAGTGGGTACAGGACAGGTTTTCTTGGGCTCTTATTTTAACAAATCTGACAATTCAGTTTTTTTCATCATGCAAGGTCAAAAAGGTTATTAAATTCATTGATCAAAACTTTGCTTCCACGATTAAAACGGTCTGCAAGTCTAAGTACCTAATCCCTTTTTCTGTGTCACTAGAAGATGATGCAGAATTCATTTATGACCAATCAGTTTGGCACAAAGCATTAACACTCACAGGGACCGAAAGAGTCACTGATGTCCCACAAGAGCATTGCTTTTCAACAGCAAGATGCAATACCTTTCTAGGTTAATTTTCCCCCAAGAAACAGGCATCTTAAACAGGCACAGGACAATTCCATCACACCCACACTGAGTACAGCCCTGCATCGGAACTGTGGCAATACAATTCTTCATCTTAACTTTAGGCAAATGAAGGTCTGCACACTAGTACAGTTTGTCATTCAAACCCTGGCAGTATATGTGCTACAATGCAGACTGGGGAACTCTCCTGTGATATTCCAAGGTGTCTGCAGCGTGCAGTTTCAGCAGCCAGATTTATATGGCAAGGTATTAATTACTGGCGGGTTTTTACTCAGTGGTTAACATAGCTGTGAAAATGCATGTGGGTACAGGCATGTGTGAGCATGTGCACACTGGGGATCTGTGCTGCAGATCTAAAAGTGGAACAAAAGATCTCACCTGAACAAACATTACAGACTGGTTTTTACTTTTGCTTTGCTACAGTGGTGCTTTCTGCTATGTTGGGAGAATGCAGGGTGTCCCAGGGGCGTTGTAAATAGCACTCCAAGTATCCACACACACGTACATGCGCACACACACTTTTTCTACTATAGTAAGTTACATTCAACTGTGTTTCCTGATCATCTCATTAAGCTGTTTATCTCCTTTGAGTCTGCTGTCACGCCTTGCTGCCAGCTTCCCGGCCAAACTGTGCTCTTCTTTGCTTCTACCATATGTAGCCTCCATCGTCTGCCTCTCCTTCCTCTTCTTCAGCCTCTTCTCCAGCTTCCTCAGTCTCTTTCTCTTCCTCATCCTCCCATCCAACGCCGCTCCCAAAATCCCCCGAGAACCCAACTACATCATCTGCAAGAACAAGAGAGTGTAAGTTAGAGAAATCTTTCAATTGGGAGCCCAGCATACCTCACATTCTGCTGTAGGCTTAGAGAGGGAGCCAGTTGCGTTGACTAGAAATGAGCCTACTTAGAGAGGGCTTCTTGTGCAAGGCTCACATTACAGTAGCAGCACCATCAATTCTCTTCCTCTCTCTGGTTTCTGCAGCGAAAGATTCTTTATTTAGTGCTTTCAAAGGTCAGGGAGGGAGAATACTGACTAGAGCCAACCAGGACATCAGGGTACATCTATACCGCAATCACAAGACATGACTGCAGCTCAGGTAGAACTACCTGATCTATCTTCAGCTAGATTTGGACCCAAAGCAAGGAGGCAGCTCACACTTCAGCACAGACTAGCTCCACAAGTAATTATTCAGATTCTGGGCTGGCCTGTACAGCCCATGCTGAAACATGTACTGCTATGGTCTCACTGCTCCACAATCGAATCTAGGAGCTGCCTAGACTTCTGTGCAAACACCCACAAACGAGAGCATGCAAACTCTGCCCTGCACCCTGTTCTTCCCCACCAGTGGCCCTTCAACTCCAGCCCTAGGCTTAACATTGCTCTCCAGCATACTCCTGTTCTCGTAAGTAACAGCCCTGCTATTCCAGTCTGAGCTACCCCTCAAGCACCATCCTCCATTCAGGGCAAACTGTGCCAAAGTGGGTAGTGGCTTTACCATCTAAATGAATATCCATTCAGGACTTAGGATGAGGTTTATTTTTTAAATTTGCAATGACCTAACTTCACATCTTCTGGACTTAGTGCAGGAATCATTTGGAGGAGGCCCTACGGCCCGGGCCAAGCAGAAAGTCAGGCTGTGTGACCACAATGGGCCCTTGTGGCCTTAAAAGATCTATGAACCCAAATCTCCCAAGTTTTAGCATTAGGCATAGGCTTTGATGACTCTTTGGGCACAGGCTTTGCAGGAGTGTTTATGTGACATGGCGCCTGTGACAGTCACTTGCCCTTTTCTTGAAATAATAGAGCAGTCAAAGCTGCTCTTCTGTGATCCAATATCCATTCATTTCCTGCGTCCTTACCACAGTCTGGGTTTCCATGTATCCGTGTTCCTGTCAGCTCCATGCCAAACTGGTCAACACACCAGCACTCCCCACTGCTCTGGTCACACTGCATCTTCCTGTAGTATCCATCCTCATCACAGCTTGGAATGAAAACACCTGGGGGGAAAACTGTCATTCAAACCATAGCAGTGCATGTGCTACAATGCAGACTGGGGAACTCTCCTGTGACATTCCAAGGTGTCTGCAGTGTGCAGTTTCAGGAGTCTCTAAAAACGGGCCCAGGGTGAGAACAGGAAATGTACGGTGTGTTAGCTACTGCTGCATTTGAAACACAGAGATGGACTCAGCTGTTCTAGAAAGGATTACTGACCAAGGCTATGTCTACACTACATGTTTCTTGCGCAAGAAGCCTTTTGCACAAGAGTTTGTGCGCAAAAACGTCTTATGCAAGAGCACATCCACACCTCAAAGCACATAGCAAAAGCAATGTGCTTTTGCACAAGAAAGCGTCCACACTATATGGACATTCTTGCTCAAGAAAGCTCAGATGGCCATTCACAGAATGGCCATCTGAGCACCTGTGCTTTTTCCCATAGGGGTTTCTTGCGCAAGAAACCCCTCTGGAGCATCCACACTTGCCTTTTTGTGCAATAGCTGTAGTGCTAAAAGCAGTTATGCCTCATGAAAGGAGGCTTACCTACACCGGCAAAAGCCCTTCCTTCTGCCGTTTAACTGTTGATTTACTTGCGCAAAAGTGCTTTTGAGGTATGGACGCTCCACGGGTTTTTGCACAAAAACCTTGCAGTGTAGATGTAGTCCAAGTGTCTCAGAAATCCAGCAACCTGCAGTAGAAGCTGGCTCAGAAGAAGATAAAATACCAGGAGCATGCACAAAGGGGTAGGTCACAGAGTGCATTTATCAGTAGTTCAGGGGAAGAGCTCACAAACCAAAAACATCACAGCTGCAAACATCGTGTAACAAGGTCTCAGATGTGGCCAACACTAACTCAGGGTATGTCTAGACTACATGGCTCCATCGACGGAGCGATGTAGATGAGTTTACTAGACACAGGAAAATGAAGCGGCAATTTAAATAATCGCTGCTTAATTTACATCAAAATGGCCGCCACACTGTGCCGATCAGCTGTTTGGCGGCACAGCAGGGCAGTCTGGATGCTCCGCAGTCGATAGCGGAAGCCTTTGTCGACTGCTCCGTTATGCCTCGTGAAATGAGGTTTACCGCAGCGGTCGAGAAAGGCTTCCGTTGTTGACCGCGGAGCATCCAGACTGCCCCGCTGTGTCGCCAAACAGCTGAACGGCACAGCGCGTCAGCCATTTTGATGTAAATGAAGCAGCGATTATTTAAATCGCCGCTTCATTTTCCTATGTCTAGTAAACTCATCTATGTGGCTCCATCGACGGAGCCATGTAGTCTAGTCATAACCTCAGAGTCACACCTTATGCATCTCATTGAGAGATATCATACTGGTGTTCTGCTACAAGGGGAGAAAAGTCTATTCCATGCATTAGCTTCAGGGGGTAGATGAGTTAGTCTATAAAGTGCTACCAGACCATTTGTTGTTTTTTAAGTTTGCCCTGCACAGACTAACAAAACATGTAAATGGTATCATGAGCTTTCGTGTGCACAGTCCACTTCTTCAGATGTGGTCAGCTATTCCCATGAAAGTTCATGACACCATTGTCGAAGCAAACGCCTCACTCAGTTTACGCGGCTAAACAGACAGTTTTAGCTTCATCACCATCTACATGTTTTGTTAGTCTGTAAAGTGCTACCAGATCATTTGTTGTTTTTTAAGTTTATCCCATCCATTGTCACTGGGAAGGTCACATGGCTCATGACTCACCAGGTTTCTTTTTTGATGCTTCTTGGATCTGGATCCTTTCCAGCTCCATGAGACAGGGGGGCTCTGTAATACCCAAAACAAACATCTCTTAGAGCTAAATATGCATCTTGGCAAGAAGGCCTGTCTCTATGTAGGGAGCATGACTCTTTCAGAGGTGACCAGGGGATTGTTGGTGAGCAAGGCTGAGGAACAGCTTAAATTGGTCAGAAGGACCAGGTTTGCTCAATCTCTCTCCTCATCCAACCTCACTCCTCCCACCTTCTTTTATGTGCTGATCAGGGAACCCCCATCGGGTGGAATCTAGACTCTTGGCTACAGCCAGATTCTTTGTCATCTTCCTCTCACTCCCTGTTAGAATGATGCAGTCTGAAACAGTGGCTCTTTTTTCACCCAGTTCATTGAATAACGTGGAGCTATCCTCATATTGGACTTCAGTGAAAATGTTAGGTGAAGTGACTGTTTGCGAAGTGCATTCTGCTCTTACTTTCCTTTACTTATAGCAGTATAGATAGTACTGTAGCCCCTTGTCTGTCATCTGGCTACCTCACTGCTTTTTGACCAGAGAAAGGTAAAAACACAAATGCTGTTTGAGCAACGGCTACCATCATGGCCTGGGAATCACTCCATGCTGCCATCCTTGTCTGAACAGATGTGCCTTACATTATGCCCTGAAGGCGACCAAAGCCTTGCTCTGGGGAGCTGCCAGAAGATGGGAGTAAAAAGGGTAGGAGCTTTTTCTGAAAATACCCTCGAGATTTCTGTCCCAGGACCTGTGAGCAGAGGCTTCCCAACAGACCTTTCCTGCTGTAACAGGACACAGGAGTGGAGCTTCCATAATCTGACTTCTTAAAGAAGCCAAACCACGTGGGGCTTCCCAGAAAAGGGCAGACATTTTGTGAGTTTACTGGCTATTCAATAGTCATACAGAATTGCAGACTAAGAAGCCCAGACACAACAGTACGCTCTCTAACGGAAACCTGCTGATGACCCACTTTCTCTCCAGAAGCAGAAGCACCATTCGGCGGTGGAGACGTGGCCGTCCTTATAGGTGTCACAGGAGTTGAAGAAGGGCCGGATGCAAATCTCATACTTGTCTAGGTTGATAGCTGCAAGCTCTGTCTGGTCCAGGAAAAGGTCATTATTTGTGTCCAGCTTTGAAAACATCCAGCCAATGGAATCCTTGCAACTGGCCACCAGGCTCTTGTCAAGCACTGTGAGCAAACCGAAGAGGTGCACGAGAAAGAGAGGAAACAGCAGAGAGAGGTGTGAGTCAAATTGCTAGTGCCTTTAACCTAGGCCTGGCCAGGCTGAAGTGCTCCCCACCCATGGTACAGCCCGAGAAGGAGCTGCTCTGACTGAGCCAGGCATCGGTTAACCAGTTATCCATTTACATCCCTACTTTAACCCTGGCACTGACATCACCACCATGCACATAGGTACTGCCGCCTGTAAGGGTGAAATGTTCACAGTGATCAAACTCAGCAGCTGAATTGTGTGCGTCATCCCGGGATTCAGGAGAGAAAATACAAGGGGATTTTCCTGGTATAGCAGGTTTACTTGTCAAAGAGTCTGCAAACTCATTTAGGCTTTATCAGCTCAGGTGCTTCTGCTGATTCTCATCCAAGACCAGTCCCCTTTGCAGTGTCCTTTCTATGTCAGAGTGAGCGGCATGAGGTGCCGGACTGGGGCAAACAGGCAGTTACGCACCTTTTATTTTCAGTTTTGTCATGAGTGTTTCCTTTTGAGGACCAATGAAATGCCCTGACATCGTGATGGTGCCCTGACATGAGGTGGCCTAAGGAACTGTGACATTGAGATGGACTGGATCTCTGCTGCAGGACAAATGTGTACAGGGTGAAGGAAGTCAGACAAAATGACAGGGAGGATCACAGGGCACAAAATCTGAGCACTGCAGCAGTGGGGAGTCCAAGCGCTTCACCCAATGCACCCTATGTTGTTGTGAACTTTGCACAGTAAGGAGGATTGTTAGGCTGAGTCTTGGCAACACTCTTCAAACCATGCTTCCTTTTCCCTATTCACAGAGGGTACAAAGCAACTGCCAGTTTGTCTGGGTGGACATCCTAGCCGCTGGAGTGAACAAACATGGCCAATGGCTGTGATTATCTGAGACAGGAAAACTCATGGAGAGGGGGCCAGAGAAAAGTCTGCCTCAGACACAGCGCTGACTGCTGATTTCATCAAACAAATTCCTCCCAGGGAGCAACTAGCTCAGAGATTTTTATTCACTGACATTTAAACTAACCAGATTCCTCCTGACCAAGTTCACTTCACACTCCACGTGTGCTTTGGGACCAACCTCAGAGGCCATGTGAGGAACAGGAGGGACTCACGTTTGCCTTGCTTGTGCTCACAGCAACTGGCAGAACTGATAGGCCATGCAGAGACCTCTCTCATTACTCTGTCTTAGCAGTGCATATCTTACACAATAATGGCTACAACCCCAACCAGTCAGGTTTCTGCATGGCCAACCTTCATTCAGCCCTAAAAGTCACACCCTGGATACTTTCAGCCACTCAGAACAGATCTGCATGCATTACAAACTTTTTACCTGCATCGTAGGCCCTCAGACTGGCCACAACATACTGCTGGGATGGTCTCAAAGCCAACCAGAGTGCAGCAGATTAATAATGGCATATGCAGCAAAATCCATCAGATAAAATGGTCTAATCACCATCCACCACTGGAACCATGGGGTATAGTATAAATAAAGATATTTCAACAGAGCATCGCCACAGAAGATGTGTATATATCAGTTCATTTGCTGCCAAGATGCAGCTGCCTCTGGAGTGGAATGTAGCGGTTGTTTAACAAAGCACAGTGGTACTACACAACAGTTCAGCCTAGGACTACTCCAGTTTCCCACTGAAACTGTCCTCATCCCACCTGCATATGGCGGGCGGTCTTACAAGATCACAGCACAAGGTTGTCCAATAACAAGGATCTGTGGGTCCTATCTACACTGGCCTCACTGTGGTATTTATATAGACATTGTCTTTATCCTGGTACAATTGCCTCTCTCCGAGATTATGAACTGGATTCTTTGGCCACTAAGTTCACTACGTGATGTGAAGTGAATGTGAAACAGCCGGAGATTCCCCCTGGATCTATGTAGGGCAAGGGTGAGCAATAGCATGGCAGCAGTTAGCCCCGATAGGCCGTTGCCACTATATTTATCTGTGCCGCCACAGGTACGGGGATTGCAGCTCCCATTGGCCGGAACAGCGATCCATGGCCAACCGGAGCTGTGATCCACTGGACTTGCGGAGGTGCAAGTAAACACAGTGGTGCAGGGGCCCACCAGGGGCTTACCCTGGCAGACTGGAACCAGACTGTGGGCCGATATTTGCCTACCTCTAATATAAGGGGAGTCTCCCTCAGAATAAAGCTAGAAGAGCCAGCTCCACCATGCCACTTGCTCTGGATAAGTGTGTAGGAGGGAAGGGGAGTAGAGGAGTAAGGATCCATTTTGCCCAGTTCTCCATAGGTATGAGGTCCCTGAGGAAACCAAACTCTTACAGCTTTAATTAATGCTGGAGCAAAGTAACTGAGACTTAGGGAGCTGCAATCAACTCCTTGAGAGACCCCCCTTTCCACTGTCCCTGAGCAGAGCATGGACAGAGTGGAGAAACAAGCCATATGCACATACAACACTCCATGCATCTTGTGCTGGCACCCATCCACCTAACCCTCCTTGCTGGATACTTTTCAGCACCCTGGGTTTCATCAGCAGCCTAGAACCTCCCATCTCAGCGAGGCACATCTGTGGCTTCTGGGTTCTTGGCTGAGGCCGATGTCAGGGAAAGCAGCACTATACATTGTTTCCCTAACTTCCCCCCAGGACACTGACATCCAGCACAAGCCCGGCCTCCTCCTGTCCTGTAGGCCCCTCACCAAAATGCACATGACATCAGTAGGCTTCATTCAAGCTCAGCCGAGCTAGATTAAGGGTGTAGGTTGTAAAAAAGGTGCCCAGGATGTCAAACACGTCTCATGGTAATGGGCATATAGACAGGGCCATCCCAAGGGGAGTGTGGAGCCTGGGGCAATCCCCTGCCCTGCTGCAGGCCCCACCCCTACTCCATCCCTTTCCCAAGTCTCGCCCCTGCTCTGCCCTATTCTTTTGCCCCTCCCGTGAGCAACACAGCACAGGGAATTACCAGGGGTCTGGCACAGCAGCAATAGGGGTCGACACTCCCCCCCGCACTCACCACAGAGGCAGGAATTGGACCAGCCACAC